CCTAACAAAGATGTAAATATTTCACAATATTCATTCTATTAGATAACTTGTTTAGGTTATTATTCATTAATCAGGCACTATAAGAGAGTCTAAGAGAAATTATTCTCTCTTTCTCTCTCTCTCTTTCCTTCTGAAAGAATAATCAAATTTAGACATTTTAAAGACAATCACCTGGAGAATGAATATTCTAAATAATGATCATCCCTTGCTTTGAGCATTTTGGTTTAAATATCTTCAGTACAAATTTAAACAGTGACTAATTATGTATTTTCCTCTTAAAAAAGATCATTCAGAGATCTAGGCTTTTGAAGTATACTTAAATTACTATACTTAATAATGTTTTTATCACCCTTAATTGCAAAAAAAAATTCTATGACTTTATTTTGCCTGTTAATCTCAGGAATATAAACCAATTTGAGATAAGTTTACCCAATGTATTGCTACTTGTGACATATGGTTAGTCACAGATGTCTGTTTCCTTCTGGCATTTTACAAAGAAACACTGAGAAAGTAGTAGTACAATAAAAAGAAACAACTTTGGTAACATCACATAACAATACAACCCATGGGGTGCTATCATTACTTCCTGGTTTAGAGTAATCAGAATGTCACACTTCCAAGAAAATTGCTCGCACACCCACAGATCCCATCTGACAATGGATCCAGCTGCCTTCTCCAAAAGACACCACACTAGGTGCAAAGCTGTGGGAGTTATAAAGAGAACTTTTGTGAAAATGAAGTGACTTGATTCCCAGAAGGTCAACAAGCCCCCAAATCCTGGGAGCCCCACCAATGCTCAGGTTAGCCATGGTCTATACATGCTTAGAATAATGATTCACTTATTGAATCTTGCGTTTCACCAAAAATCTGGATACAATAATTTTAAAGGATTGTAATATGACCTTTATTTTGGGGAGCAAAGAAAACAAGCTGCCTTCAGAAAGGAGTATAACAACATGTCTGGTCCCCCTAGCATGCTTCTTGTTACATGTAAATGGATAGGAACCCTTAGTGAGAGCCACCTGTGTCCTCACACCGAGGTCAATGGGCTCACTGCTGTGTCACCTTGGGCAATTCACTTACTTACCTATATGATAGTATTTACCTCAGAGGTTGGTGTGAAAAGCAAATGAGCTGAGATATAATGGAGTCTGTGCCTGGTGCACAGGTAGAAGACATACTAGTCTTCTATCATCACTAGTGTAGTCTCATTATGGAGGAATTTTCCACAAGGAATCAAATTACCTGAACATGTCAACAAGGAGGAAAATGTTTCAAATAATTCATGGGCAATTTTTTTCTCTAGGAGCATTAATCACAATTTGACATAAAGCTCATTAAAAACTCATAAATGTCCAGATAAATGCAAGACTTCCTGATAAGTAAATTTATTTTATTAACACACTCAACAAAAACATGCTGTATTCCTATATATTGTAGAGCATGAAAAGATGAATCACAGTTCCTATTGAGAAAGAGTTTGCCATTTAGTAGAGGAAATAACATATTTGCATAAGTAACTATATTAAGGCGTGGAGGTTTAAGAGGGATAAGAAAAATTAGACAAGAGGAAAAAATGATTACTCTGAGGTTCAAAAAATAACTCCAATGAAGGTATTATCTGAAATAGACCTTGAAGGAGAGCTGTGCTTCAGAAACACAGAGCTAGCAGAATGGGGGACGGTGCCTCTGACTGAAAGAATAGCTTGAGAAGGGCAAGGGCATAGCCAAGCCTTAAAGGTAGTAGTGGTGCTGAAGGGGGTCGGGGGCATTGTCACATGCTGAGGCCCTTGAATGTCTGACTTTATGACTGGAGGCTCAGATTCAATTGTGTTCTGTTCTCTGTTCTCTGTTTCTACCTTGAGTTCAACCCTTGCAGCAAGCAGCATCCATTCAACCTTATGAAGGCTTAGTGACATATTTTTTAAAAACATTCTTTATGTGGTATTCTTGTTATAATTATGAGAAATGAACAGAATCTGAAGTTTTCTTCATGGCATATGTTGGTTCATCGGGGATCATCTGGTATGATAGTGGAAGGAACTGCTTTTATATCTCACTGGGCAATCTTCAGTGGCTTAACTATCTGAAGTTTGCCTTCTCAGCCCTGAAACTCCCCCTACGTGATTACCAAGGCTGCTGAGAGAGGATTCAGTTGGGAGCATCTGACAGTGAGAGGAGGCTACGGGTGTAAACAGAGTTAGTTTTGGAATGATCGTTGAATGGTTGGGTGAGGTCTGTTTGTTTGAGTTGACAGCCTCTCCCTAACTCTTTCATTAAACACCCAACTAACCTCCAATTGCCCTCTTAGAACTTAATCTCAGTGCAATTACTAGCATTTCAAAATCATCCAACCCAAAGAGGTGCTACCCTGAAAGGGGGTCTTTATTCAACATTAGGAGAGTAACTCCAACTACAAAACTCTACAAGTGCCCCAGATGAGAAGTAGGATAGATTTAGAAACCACTTATTCTATTAGGTGGATTAATAATAAATTCATAACAAGCTGGCACACAACGTAAGTGTCCTCCAACATTTCTGGGAATTTAGAATGCCAAAAAGTGTTGGTGGAGTGTTTCTGATGAGGTAGGCCTCCATCTACCAGGGAAACATGATTTCGGCTCTCTAAAAAGCTAGATCATTCATACTAGTAAATGCCAGTCAGCAATAAAGTTTATGTTCGTGTTTGCTCTAATTTTTCCCATCATAAATTTAGTTAGTGCAATACTCCTAAGCCTGTCTGTGCCCTAGCATTTCTCAAAGTGTTTTTCTCAAGCTACCTGACCACCTGGAAATCCTGGCCTCACCCCAGACCTAATCAATGAGGCAAGGTCCTGAGATTTGAGTTATAGGGAAGGAAGTCCTTTATTTCTAAAATTACTGAAGTTACTTCTACCCAGATTCTTCTTATGCTATTATTTCAGCTCCTGTCTTCCCAGACAGTTGAGTCATTCAAAGATGAAGTTGATGCTGGGTGTAGATAGTCTTCTCAGTAGGCATGTTGCCATATGAATGATGTCATCGAGAGTCAAAAACTTACTCCAATGCCTTCACCAACAAGTTACAAAGGGCCAGAGGATTAACTGTGGTTGGGATTTCAGAGAATCATTACAAAACAGATTTTGAAAGATATTTAACTGCTATTAAGTTTTCTTCTTTTTAATATTTTTCACTTTTATCTCTGTTGTTTTTTTGTTTGTCTTTGCTTTTCTTTTGGATCTCCTCCAGAAAATGGAGTAATAGGACTAGTTGTGGATTAAAGAAAGAAGTGGTTATAATAATGTCATTCTTGAAAAAACATATCTTCCAAAAACAGTTTCATTACTAGTGAATAAACCTCTTACCTCCTCAGACCCTTTAAGCTTTTATTTAAACACAAATAAAATCATACTTTGGATTCTAGTAAGTTCTCTGTTTTCCAAGTGCTGCTTTTGATCTTAAATGAACAGCTATTACCAAATGCATATCTTTACATCTTTTATATTTTGTCTTTTAAAGTCAACCAACTAATTATTTTATAATTTACTATTATGTGTTCTATAAAAAAAAATGAAGTAAGGTGTATATCATATTTAACAGGGTGGTTGTGTGTTTGATGAGAAAAGACCTACAGACTGAAGACCTAGGTTTAAGTCCAAGTTTATTATTCATGTGATTCCAGAGAAATTCATATGATGTCTCTGAGTCTTAGTTTCATATTTAAATACTAGAGGCCTGATGTACTAAATTTGTGCAAGAGCAGGCCTTCCTTACCCCAGCTGCCAGCACTGGCTTCCCTCTAGCACCCAGGACCAGGCTTCCCTCGCAGCCCTGGCTTCCTCTGGAAGGACGTACGGAGGATATCTGGTCTAATTAGCATATTATGGTTTTATTATTATAGAAAATAAGAATCGATATAATCCTAAATTCACAGAGATATTGTAGGGATGCCTAATGATGTTAAGGAAATCATAACATATTCCTTGATCCCTAAAACAGCTTTCTGTTTATTTCTATATTTTGTGTTTTTCAAAACGATAGTTGGTCTTCTTGCTCCTTCCATAAGGATGTAGGACATGTTTTCTTGCACCTGTGGCTGCTCTACCAAATGTGAAACGCAATGCCAGCATTCTGATGACACTGTTGCCACCAAGTGGTCATTATAGGGTACTGCAAGCCAAATCTAGGTGCGATCAACCACAACGTAATAGTGCTATGACAAGCAATTTAAACTGTGCATATCGACTAAAACAGTAGCTTTTCTTCTCCTTCCTTGGTGACATAAACGGAGTAACACAATTCTCATCTGACTTGAAACACCACCTTACTCTTTCTTCCCCCTTGATTTACTCTAGAGCCCACAATCCACAACTTAAATATCATTGTCTCTCTTCTAAATTCCTAATTTATCTTTCCTACTAGTATACATACAGCCGAAGACCTGCAAAGAAATCCGAGACGTGAAATACCCAGAGGGAGACTAGGGAACCACCAGTAGTTGACTACCATAATATATTCAACATCTTATTGAAACCCTAGGAGCAGCATACAATATCTTTATCTTCCAGGTTAAGAAAGTAAGGCTCAAATGGACTCAGTTTGTGAGAGCAGGATAGGCTTCAAACCCAGGAAAGAGCCAAGTTCTCTCCAGCACTTCTCAACATCTCCCTTTATGCCTGGCGGCTGCTCTGTCATTTTCTGCTTTACCTTCTACGGCGTTTAGGCATCCTCTACCTGAGATACCTATACCAGCACATTCAGAATCACCTGGCCAAAGTTTTACAATATGAATGCCTAGGTCCCTTCCATACCAATTTTAACTAAAACTCTGGAAGATAAACCCCAGCATCTGTAATTTTAAAAAAATTCTGCAAATTACTCTATTATACTGTGAGGGTAGAGTAAATAATGATATTACTCATGTTAAATGGTTTTTCTACTGCTTTAGTATTTAATCAGGAGCATATTCTTATTATAAAATACTTTATTAACACAAAGTTTCTCTCTTGTTGTGATAACAGGTGGATGAGATATTTATTGATTCAGCCTTGAATAAGCATTATATCAAGAACCGAGTAGTCAGACTGACGTATGTATATTTGGGCAAAGGTGGAGTCACAGCCTAATGGGACAAAGGGCCAAGGGGACAGGGACCCTCATATATTCTGAATCTCTAGGAGCCAGCCTTTGGCTATGGTTTCTCATAAACATCATCTCTACAACAGTCTCAAGACATAGCACTGATCACCATCTTGTAAAGGAGAAAATGAAAATTTGGGGGAAGGGGGAAGTTAAGTGATATGTTCAAAGTAGTTTCCCAAGTGAAACAGAACCAGGCTTCAACATCTGGAACTACCAGAATCTGTGTCAGGGGAAAACCCAGCAGCCTGTCACTGCAGGCACTGCATTGTATTTTTTTTTTTTTTTGGACAATTATGTCATTTCAAAAACATTAAGAAGGAAAAGTTGACTACAGTTTGGGACAATTAGTTTTACCTGTAATAAATCCCCCAGTATCAGCAGGCACACCTAAACAAAAAGAAGTTTCTGTGTTAATAAATGTTCTGTTTGTTGTAGTGGAGGGGGAAGACTCATATCAGTTGCAGGAATTGCTCAGAGGTTTCTACTATGTTATTTGGAAAGCACATAGCAGAACATATACATAATAGGTGAAAATGTATGGGCCTGTATGACTCATCTTCTTAAAGAGAATGAATATATTTAGACAGATTTATTTGAAGGAAATAATCACTTTTCTCACCCATAGACAAATGCCTAGTAACAGACTTACTCCAAGTTCCTTACAACTTTGCTGACTAACTAGTGACCACCGAATAATTTTATAAAATGGGTAAATTCTATAATATTTGGGAGATAAAAGGAACATATTTGCTAAAAATTTCTGGGCTTCATGCCTTTTATTTTGGAATTCTGATTTGCCATAATATTCAAGCAACGTTATCATAATCTTACAAACTCCTTTAAATTTGTAGCCATTGTCAATGAATTTTTGTGTGAATCCAACAATTGAGGCAATAATTCCAGGGAAGAAAATACAGGAAAGAGTGTTAGTTTATACTAGAATATTACTTCGAATAATCACCTTTCTCTTATGTCTCCAAGTCCAGAGGACAATGGTGTGAAAGCAGATATCATTATGGTGTTCCAGTTTCCCTTTGCTGAGCCAAGGACAGTAAGGAAGAAGAAAATCCATAGCATATTAAACCAGAAGATAAGGAACACAAGAGCCTTGCCAATAAATGCCTCATCGGTGCAAGTTAAAGGTAAGTAGGCACCTGTCATGTGATGTGAAATTCTCTGTTAGGTTCATTTTGTGTCTCATCTTATACTTACCTGCCATATTTCTATTCCAAATAATAGCTAGAATCAAGATTAATTTTTTTTTCAGTTAAAAAGGTAAAATTTCACTGAAACTGGTTTGGCTCAGTGGATAGAGTGTCGGTCTGCGGACTGAAAGGTTTCACCCAGGTTCAATTCTGGTCAAAGGCATGTACATTGGCTGCAGGCACATCCCCGGTAGAGGGTGTGCAGGAGGCAGCTGGTCAATGTTTCTCTTTCATCAATGTTTCTAGCTCTCTATTCCTCTCCCTTCCTCTCTGTAAAAAAAAAAAAAAAAAAAAAAAAAAAAAAAAAATAAATACTATATATATATATATATATATATATATATTTATATATATATATTTTAAAGGTAAAAGTTCAAGGCTTTATTATTCGCTGATGAGAGCATGTTTGCAGATAGTTGTTAAGTGTTTTTTTCCTGTAGTAAGTGACTGTTGCTCATCCCTAAATAAAGGCCAATCTTTACCATTAATAGAAAATTAATCTGACCCACCACTGCCTCCATGACTAAGTAAGTAAAAATATTAAGCATTTAGCAACAAGTAATTATAACAACTGCTTTTCTGGGTGGGACCTTTCTAAACAAACTCATGTTTCTGTATATACTGAAATTATTACATTTAAAAAATGTATTTTAATTGATTTCAGAGAGAAAAGGAGAAGGAGAGATAGAAATATCAATGATGAGAGATAATCATTGGTTGGCTGCCTCCTGCATGCCCCTTACTAGGGATCAGGCCCACAAGCTGGGCATGTGCCCTTGACTAGAATCGAACCCAGATCCTTCAATCCACAGGCCGACATTCTATCAACTGAGCCAATCTGGCTAGGGCAATTAAGAGATTTTTGTTAACTTTTTTCCTATGGGCATTTGGAAAATTGGTAAACCAACTTTGGAGCCACTAAGGCAATCTTATAATTAACAAGTAAAAATCACTAACCTAGAAAAAAATTATCGAAACATTTATACCATTATCACTTCTCTGAAATAGAGAATCAAAGTTTATCAAGGCCCTGTCTATGTCCTTTATATGCTGCCTCTAATTTCTAGATCCCTATGAAGTAGGCAAATGTTATAGATGAGAACGAAAGCCTCAAAAGATCAAGAACTCTAATTGTTAAAAGGAGGTAAAGTTCAAACCTAGATCTCTAATTTCTTGAGAGGCTCTATTTAAAATGGCTCTGTGATCAAACACATACTAGAAATTCTGTTTTTTAAGATTCAATCCTTATTAGCATACCCTGATGAGTCCAGCAAGACAAAAACCTGTCTACCCTTGTACATTAAGCTTCATCTACTTCTGGCAGACAAATGCAGACTTCCCTACAAATCCCAATGGACACCATCCTTGGCGTCACAGAGAGAATCAGAGTGATTAATATCAGGCAGGAAACAGGGCGCCCTGCCCTTGTAAGGGTCTGACTGACTCTTCAAGAGGAAACCTGACCAGGAAGCAAAAACCTGAGTGAATGGGATGGGCAGGATTTTGCTGATGTGGCGAAGCGTCAGCTACTCAAGGAATAAAGCTGTGGACCTCTCCCAACCCGAGGGGGAAGAAACTGTCAAGCGCTTAATCCACCTTCTTTGTCAGGTGGGAAAGCCAATGAATCGAGGTTATGAAATAGTGGCAGTCCTGATAAGTTACATGATATGTTCTACTTAATTCCCAATAACCAGTCAACTTACCAGGAATGTAAAAGCCTGACCTATCTGAAAGTTGAAATGTGGTGTGAAATGGTCATGGATTGCTTGGTCTTTTTGTTTCTTGCAGACTCAGGTTGTACACTGCAGTTTGTTTTAATGACTGGAGTAGATTAAGGGTAGAATGTGCTGATGGAGAACCTGATTTAAGAGTTACCTGATTAATTTTAACCCCACTGAGTCACTGCAGGACCAACCAAGTAGTTGGCCCAGGACTTTGCTTCATTTTCTCATCTATAAAATTGTAATGAAAATGTTTGCTCTTCCTGAAATCATAAAAATACCGTGAGAATATAGGGGAACACACACACACACACACACACACACACACACACACACACACACACTCTCACACACACACACACACAATATGGAATATATAGGCTATTACCATGTAGAAAACTAATAAATTGGGCATATATTTTAGAAACTGAAAGCATTAATGTGAGTGACGGGTAATAGAAAAGGCTAGGAACTTAAAGGTTTCCAAATTTAGAAATGTAAAAAGAACAGTGTTTGCTAGCACTCAGGAAAGGCCTAGTTAGTGGAAAGCTCATTAAGAAACCTCAAGGCTGTTCTTACAGGCAAAAACGTTGCTCTAAACACTTAATTTGGGGGACTCCCAAGGAATAAAAAACTGCAGCCCAAATTAATCCATAAATTTGCCAAAATATGTGTTTTGTTTTGACAAATAAGTGTGTGGTGTGGGTCCTTCATGTGATGCAGTGTGTGAAAGCAAAGCCAAAGTCAACATCTTGGCATCGCAAATGCCGTGGCAGAGCAGTCACTGCCTACCTGCAGTGGGAGTGCTCCTGCTCCCATCTGTTACCTGTAGGTTGTAGAGCCTTGAATACTAACTACATTACTCCCGACTCAGGGTTACTTTCAAGACTAGGGTGTTCATGTTTCTTTGTGCTCCTAGATGTGGTAAGTCAAAATATTGATACAAATGAGAAATCTTCAACAGCTAGTGACTTGTGTATAGGTAGTTTACGTCTAGGTGTAATCATACTCCCTAAAGAGTCAACCCTTAAAAATCCAATCACACTTATAACCTTTACACTTAACATGGTATAATTCCTGGAAAAGAGATATTTGCATTGTGCTCAAACTAAGCTGAAGAAGTTTTAACTGAAGAATTCTATCATTATACTATTTTCCATTTTAGTGCATTACTACTGTGCGGCATTTTAAATTGTTGTTGTTGTTTTTTTTAAGTGAAATAAGAAATTTACTAAAAACAATATTTGATAGAAAATTGAGTTCCTTCCATAGAGTAAGCATTGAGAATGTGTCCTGAGAAACTGATTCTTCACCGTATAATAATTTGGGCATGCCTTCAAGGGTATCTTTGAATTCAATATTTTCAAAACTCCAATTTACAGAGTTCATCATTACCAGTTTTCCAAATGGGACTTATAGAAGGTGGAGAAAATTTTTTATTTTGCACAATGAGAAGTTAAATGCATAAAACATGGGTCTAAACATCCCACTGGTGGAAATTTATATAAGTTTATCTTTATTCTACTCAGCAAGTAATTTGATCTTGAAAATCATCAGTATTCAGGCAACCTTCCACTAACTTAACTTTAAGTATTCATGCTTTCTGTATCAGATCCCTAACTTTGTTGGAAATAAGCAGAACTTAATCTTAGTATGTGTTCAACAATTGATATTGGATAAGAATACAAATAGTTTTTACTCTTTAGAAAAAATCATTTTGATAATTTAGGAACTATGTTTTAGAAGTATTTTAAGTACAGTTGGCATGGGTGTTTTCAATGTGTGGCTATTATTATTATTATTATTATTATTATTATTATTAATTATTATTCCTAAACCCTTTTACCAAAGAAAAGCTTATGTGAACTCTTAAACAGAAGAGATAAAAGCAGACCTGCTCTGGTTGAGGCTGGGCTTGAGCCTCAAAACCCCACCTGCTTGCTCTCTCGTTCCTCACTTTTTCTATCTTCTAAGATAAAATACAAAGAGGGTGTCTTCTGCACCTTTGGAAAAACCACTGTTCTGTCATAATATAAACTATTTGTGAATTTTAATCTTCACTATCTGTGCCCTAATCACGCTCTGCTTGAGGTATTATGCACCTACTTGGAAGTTGCCTATAAATCCCTACAAAAATTGTTCACATATCCTCTTACATCTGGTAGTCATTCTCCTGACTGATGAGTGCTGTCTAGAATCCATATATGGTCAGCATTTCCTGATAATTTCAGGCCATGGAGGCCCAACAGGAGAATGTTAAATTATTATTCTTTGTTCTATTTTGTTTTTCAGCAATGAGCTCATCAACAGGGAAGTTAACTGTCCAAGCATGTAAGTCTAGTTAGCTTCTAAAAACAAGTTCTATTTCCACATCAGAAAGAACAATATCTTCAAATATTAGCTAATAATTCCCCATCTATGTCCCACTTTTCTTGGGAGAGAATAGTAATTAGACAATATGGAAACACTTTTATTTCTAACCCTGAGGTTGATCTTTTCTCATGTTTAAGAAAACATTTTACATGATTGAAATTTTGAGCATTTTGCAGAGGTTAAATATACAGTATATATATTTCTGGTTTGGAATAAATGGACTTGCTTTTCTAATTTTTAAATGCTATCAAATGTGCTTTCTGCTGAGAAATAAAATGAGAAAGTGAGATGGAGAGGAGATAGATTCCATTATCTGTGACTGACCTATACAATTTGCTTAATGTATCTTTCCTTTATGGTGACAGCAGCTCCACTTGTTTATTCTATATCAGTGTAACCAGATTTTTGAAAGATTTTATAAAAGTGGTGATGAATTTGAGCAAAGCTATTCACTCATTCATCTATGTGTCTTGCAAACACGCCACACTACACATTTTAATTCATTCATTCATTTAACAAATACCATTTTAATATCTATTAAGTGCCAGGAAATGAATATCATTGAAAATAAGACACAATACTGCTTCTAAAATTAAGAGTTTGAAGTTAGGGGAAGACATAAGTAAATCAGGAAGTGTTAAAATGGTGTTATAAATGCTATGACAGAGAAAGCACACACTGCTATGAGAGTCAATCAGAGAGTTAGCTAAACTGGTCTTGTGGAGTCAGAACATGATCTGAGACAGCAAAGAGGAGAGTCCATGAACCTAATGACGAATAGGATGGGTGTCCTGGCAGGAGGAGTAGTACATAAAAATGTCTTCTAGAAAGAAAGGACATGGTCATGTCTTGTAATTGCAAAATGTCAGTGTGACTGGAACACAGAATGGGGACTGAAGGTATAAGAAAGAGGCATGGTTAATAGTGATCAAAGACCAGAATCCTGCTGACACATTTTGACTTTATTTGGAGAGCAGTGAAAAATCACTAAAGGGTTTTACTCAGATCAAAAAGATTACTCAGTTTTAATGTGGAGTACAGATTGGAGGGACAAGATTAGAGGCCTGGAGATATAACGGGATGCTGTAGAATTCTTCCAGAGGAGAGAAATTGTAAACTAGAGCATTAGCAGAGTGATGGAAATTTTTAAAATGACTGGCCACAGTTGGAGTGTAATCAATGCCTGTAAAATCAGTTTTGTTTTTTGATACCTAATTAGTTAGAACAAGAAGGGAAGCTAGCTTATTTCTAATAAGGAGGCTGATTCTTATCAGGAACCCTAAGCAGCAGACTAATCTCTGATCTGATGCACATAACAGAGTACATACTTATTCCCTACAATAGTGAATGTGATGTTTATGTGGAAAACATGGAACCTCCATCCTGAAGGGTGAGAGACTGGTCACGATACATTACCTTATGCACACTTTAAGAACTGGCCACTCAGAAAAATATAAAGAAGAAGGAGCTCCAACACATAGGCAGTTACTTGTCTGGTCAGTTCTTCTGTGAGAGTTCATGTCAAAGTGACACTGTTGAATCACCTAAAATTGAGAAACAGTGATCTCAGTATGAGCTCCCAGGACATGTAGATAATTAATTGATGCCACAAGTCCTTAGGATACACCCTTTGAAGTGTGCCAACCCTTTGCAGCTGCACATAGTTTCAGCAGGCAATATATTCCACAAATATAAAGGGAGGGAAAGAATAAAACATCAACATATTGGTAACTACAGAGGAGGGATATTCATATTGTGCATGTTCATATAATGATAGATGAAAATATTGCATTGTAGTACTCTATTAGAGGTTCTTTCCATCAAAATTAACACATCTCTTAAAACTCAATAGTCTCATCTCTTTCAGGTTGTGGTAAACGGGCTGTTCCATTAATAGTCAACAGGATAATGTCTGGAGAAATTGCTGCCAAGGCTGCCTGGCCTTGGCAAGCTTCCCTTCAGTGTGATAACATACATCAGTGTGGGGCTACTTTGATTAGCAATACGTGGCTCGTCACTGCAGCACACTGCTTTAAGAAGTAAGTTATAGACCTTACATTGGACTCCACTACTGCTAAAAAAAAAAAAAAAAAAAAAAAGTCTCTGAGATTTATTATATTCTGAGTAATGATCAATGCCCCCAAATATTACTGAGGTAAAATGAGAAACTCAGGTTCTTTTCTAAAACAATGTTACATTTGCAGACTTACTTGAAAAGCTGGAATAGGTATTTCTTTCTTTCTAACTAGGTTCACTTTATAACCTTTCCCAAGTACCAAATATCCTGGTAAGAAAAACAGAAATTTCAAAAGGACTTTATCAATACTAATGAAAGAGTAATGTGCTAATTAGACCTGATATCTTCCAGACATTCTTCCTGACAAAGCTGGGCCCGGGACAAGCCACCTGCCCTGCGATCCCGAGTCCCAGCACCTGTGGCTGCAGCCAGGGAGAGGGCAAAGCTGCCCATCCCCTGTCTCCTGCGGCTGTGGCAGGCTTGGGGAAGCAGGCCCAGGTCCAGGGTGATTGCAGCCAGCCAGAGGGAGGGAAGCCTGGGTCCCGGGAGCTTGCGGGGGCCAGAGGAAGGAATCCCGAGTCCTGGGTGTGGGGCCTAGGCAGAGATGGTTAGAGGTGATCAGGCAGGCAGGCAGAGGGGTTAGGTCTGATCAAGCAGGCAGGTAGGTGAGTGGTTAGGAGCCAGCGGTTCCAGATTGTGAAAGGCAATGTCCCACTGCCAGTTTAGGCCCGATTTCCATCCCGGCAGTTGGACATCTCCCAAGGGGTCTTGGATTGGAGAAAATGCAGGCTGGGCTGAGGAACCCCCTCCCTCATGCGTGAATTTCATGCACCAGGCCTCGAGTGTTAGAGTAATAGCAAGAATTACATGATGTGCTTTAACATGTAAAAATTGCTTAAAAATTTCTGTTGGAAGATAACCTACTATGAGTCAATTCACAAAACTACAATTGTAATTTAGACTATATTAAAAGAAATGCAAAACCCATAATAAATGAGATATCAGACTCTTTGTTGGTCAGATCCTTCCTTAAAATAGTGAATTCTGTCCTGGACAATACAGTTAAAGAGAACTTGACAAAACAAAATGCTTTTAGAGTAGTACCGAGTCCATGGTGATAAAGAAAGGTGCTAGTATATCTGTATAATCTTTCCACTCAAGGCATAGTTCATAGACCAGCAGCATTGACATAACTACAGAATTTGTTAAAAATGAAAGAATCTCAAGCCCTATCTCCACTCTACAGAACCAGGAGCTGCATTTTAATTGGCTCCCCAGGTTATTTGTTTGCACATCTGGTAGAGATGATAAATAGTTATATTCACACTAGAGGCCAGATGCATGGAGGTGTCCCCTCAGTCCAGCCTGCACCCTCTCAATCCAGGACTCCTCAGAGGATGTCCAACTGCTGGACATCCCCCTCATAATTCAGGATGGTTGGCTCCTAACTGCTCACCTGCCTGCCAGCCTAATTGTCCCTAACTGCCCATTGCCAGCCTGGTCACCCATAACTACTCCCCTGCCAGTCTGATTGCCTCCAACTGCCCCCCCTACCAACCTGGTCACTCCTCACTGTCCCCTTGTGTCAGCCTGGTCATCCCACACAGCCTGTTGTTCAGTCATTTGGTCATTCTTCACTAACCCTCCTGCACCCCCCTTCAGGCTCCTGGCCCCATCCCCACTGCTTCCACTGCTTGCCATCTGTGCAGCGCTGCACGTCCCCTCCCCTGCCATTGGTGGCCTCCTTCTGCAGGTGACAGGCATGGGGTGAGATAGCTTGGCTGGCCTGGGTCTCCCTCTGTGGGCAATCACTGGCTGTCCACACACCTGCCATAGGGTTGCCACAGATGGCCTGGGCCTCCCTCTTGATTTTCTGGGGAATGGGGCCAGCCCTGCTAGGGGCCTTCTACCTCTACCTGATTACCTTTAACCACTTGCTTGCCTGTCTGATCACCCCTAACCACTTGCCCTAACTGATCACCTCTAACTGCTTGCTTGGGATGGGGCCAGCCCTATGAGTGGCCGTCTGCTTATCTGATGCCCCTAACTGCTTGCTTGGGGGCAGGATAAGCGCAGCAAGAGGCCATCTGCCTACCCGATCACCGCTAACTACTCTGCCTGCCTTCCTGATCACCCCTAACCACTTGCTTGGGGGTGGGGTCAGCCCTGCAAGGGGGCTGGTGATTTTGGTCTCTGGTCGTTCCCATTGTTATGTTTATGGTGGCTGGCCTTTTATTATATAGGATTTGTTAATTTGTTTCATTCTTTTTCCTTCACTAGAATCTAATTTTTTCTGTCTTATTCACCACTTTATCCTCAGCACTTTGAATAAGACTCAGCACATGATGTTCAATAAATATTGGCTGAAGAGATAAATGATATTTTATGTGCCTTTGCAGTTCTAAAATCTAATAATTCAGTATTAGATTCAGGTCTAAGATGCTTTGTGTATATGTTTTATCCTTCAAAATAGTAGCAGTATATCCCATTTAAATAGTCAAAGAAAGTTATTGGTGCAATCAAGTATTTTCAGGATGCTATTTTCCCTTTTATTAGCCTAGTGCAATTATTGTAGTGCAGTTTATATATTCTGTTCATTTGCCAACCTTTTCTAGGAATGCAAATCCACGTGACTGGACTGTTAGCTTTGGAACAACAATCAACCCTCCGCTAATGAAGAGAAATGTCAAAAGAATTATTCTCCATGAGAAGTATCACTCCCCAGCAAGAGTGTACGACATTGCTGTTGTGCAGTTTTCTCCCAGAGTCACCTTTACTGATGACATCCGCCGGGTTTGTTTGCCAGAAGCTTCTGCAACCTTCCGACCAAATTCAACTGTCTATATCACAGGATTTGGAGCAGTTGAATACGGTGGTGGGTATCACAAAAATGATCACAGGGTGTGATTTAATTTCCATCAATATTGCCAGACATTTCCATAACTTGGTTGGATTAGATAAGGCTCCTGTTTTGCAAGTGACAAAAAAAATTCAACTCAGATTAGCTTAAGCAAAGGACAATGATGAAATGGCAAGTTTTGCCCTTGTAATTTGGAAATCAAGAAGTGAGTCTGGCTGGCCTAGCTGGTTTGGATCAGTGGATAGAGCGTTGGCCTGCAGTCTAAAGGGTCCTGGGTTCGATTTCAGTCAAGAGCATGGGTTGCAGGCTCGATGCCCAGGAGGGAGTGTGCAGGAGGCAGCCAATCAATGATTCTCTCTCATCATTGATATTTCTATCTCTCTCTCCCTCTCCCTTCCTCTCTGGAATCAATAAAAATACATTTTAAAAAAAGAAAAAAGAAATGACTCTGGCTTCAGACACAGCTGGATTCAGGGCTTCCTATGATGTCACTAAGTTTCTGAATTTCTGAATCAGTCCATTTCCTCTCTCTGTTTCCCCCTTCATATGGAGGGATTCCAGCTCCAAAGTGGCCAACAGCAGCTCAGGGTTTACCTCCTCTCACCTATAGATGCCAAGGAAAGAACATATCTCTCTCTTTGCCAGAATCTATGTTAACCCCTGAAAATACCTCTTTTGGCCCAGCTTGTGTCCAGGGGTACTCAGATTGATTGGCTAATTCAAATACTCAGACCTATGCCTACACCAAGAAAGACAGGTGTGTGAGTGGTAGCCTGGTTAGCATCACATGGAATGAGGGAAAGGCAGTTTCGCTTTAAGGAAGACTTCAAAGGTGTTCCTTCAGCAACAATAATATCTGTTTCTGTGTGCCATTCTAGATGCAATACCAGGTATTGCCCTCTCTAAGAATATTTAACTTAATAATACTAACTTAATCTCCTAACAAGTAAAAATGATTTTATTTTTGAATATTTTGGGGGCATACTTAGACACACTCTGGATCCCAAAATCTGGTCCAGGTACATACATATACAACAAGCGAGAGGGTTTCTTTAACTCTGGGCTTGAGAAAACGAGAAAGGGTTTTCCGAGAATGACAAAATTCATTCACAGAGCTCTATACAATTTAAATACAAAAACCTCTAAAGAATGAATCTTTAATTCTTAGTCTCTACTAAGAAACTGGGAATACCTTTCCCTAATGTGGCCCAGAATAGATGCCCCATGTGGTTTCATTCCTATTATATGAGCTGAGAAGCGTCTTGCTTTCTTTAAGGCAATATAACTAGTCATAGAAATTATTATCCATAGTTTTTTTTTAATCCCGGGGGTGGCTGAGTAGAGCTGTAAGCCTGACACCTCTATGTCTGTATTCTATCTGAGGGGTTTCATCCTAAGTCAGAGTTTGCATTCTCAGCTTCAGGATGACAGGAGGGACATCTCCGATTCCCTTTGGCATGGTGGGAAGAAACATTCCTGGCTTGGAGTCTGAGGCTGATACAGAACCATACCTGGCATAATTTTTTTTTTTTTTTTTTTTTTTTTTTTTTGCATAGCAATAGATTCTGACTGTCAAGTATAGAACACCATACCAAACAACAACAAATACTCTGTCAAGCACCCATGGACATTCACCAAGATAGACTATATCTACGTCCATAAAACAATCATACACATACTTTAAAAAATTGAAATCATACATGGTATACGCTCTGGTCATAATGGAATCAAACTACAAACTAGTTACAGGAAGCTACCAGGAAAATATACAAATGCTTCGAAATTAAACAACTCCCTTGTAAATAATCCATCGGACAAAGAGGAAGTCTTGAAGAAAATTTTAAGTATACACAGAATTGAATGAAAATGAAAAACGAAATATCAGTTTATACAGAATGCAGCTAAAATAGTGCAGAGAAGGACATTTATAGCCAATGTGGAAATTAGAAAAGCATAAAGGTCTCAAATCAATAATCTAAATTCCCACTTTAGGTAACTAGAAAGGAGCAGCAAGATAAACCTACAGTAAGCAGAAGGAAGGAAATAATAAAGATTAGGAAATGAATAAAAACAAAAACAAGAAAACAATCAAGAAAATTAATGGAGAAAAAAAAGTCAATTCTTTGGGGGGAAAAAAAAAGTCAATATTCAGCATTCTCACAAGAGTTGAGAAACAGTTCAGGGAGTTCCAGGATTTATTTAAAACAGCACGCAAAGTCTTGATTGGGGTTGTGATCTCATTTGCAGCTCTGGGTTGTCTTCCAAGCTCATTGACTGGTGGTGGAATTTGGTTGCTTGCATCTATAAACTTCTGACAACTTCTTGTTCAATGCCATAAAGAAAGTCTTCACAACCAAAGAAGGCCTTAGCCCTTTTTAAAAGGACTCATCTGATTAATAACTGTGGTCAAAGGAACAAACCTTGGAAAGTCTTCTTTTTGATTTTGAAAGTATCAAATGGAATTTATCTTAGTTTACACCTAAAAAATTTCATCATCTGTGCCTCATACCATAACCTAATCATATGCAAAATACACCCTATATTCAGAGATTCCTCCCATCCTTGGGGGTAAGGAGATCACAAAGGAATTGTAAGGGATCTTCACTGAATTCTGTCTATTATAGTGTCAGTTTCCCAGTGACTATAAGGTTTAAAGCATCTGTGAATGCTTGTGATACTTTGTTTGTACCATAGTTATCTTCCTGCCATAATATTGATTTCTATAATTCAAAATCTAGTTTATAATCTGGAGCCCCAAACTTACAATACATAAAAAATGAAATTGTTGCCTCTAAATGTCATTTTATGTGTGAAAGTTCTTCATAAAATGCAAAGGATAAAATAAATATACATAGTTTATAGTTATTTTATCAAGCCAAGGGAGAAAACTATACCTACAAAGTTCTGAAAATAAAGTCCACAAATATAAATATTATTTTTAAAAATTAATGTCTTCCTAAATATATAAACTGATCATTTTTAAGGTAAGGATATGAAGATTTTTCCAGGAAAAGTAATAAAATGGTATTTCATGCTAGTATAGCAATTTATAAAAATATGATAAGGCCCCCCACCTAGCCAGTTTGACTCAGAGAATAGAGGGTTGATCTGTGGACCAAAGGATCCCAGGTTCTATTTTGGTCAATGGCACATACTGAGTTGCAGGCTCCTCCCTGGCCCAGGCTCTGGTCAGGGTGCATGCAGAAGGCAACCAATTGATGTGTTTCTCCCACATCAATGTTTCTCTTTGTCTTTCCTTCTCTCTTCCATTCTCCCTAAAAATCAATGAAAAAAATAGCCTTGGGTGAGGATTAACAAAATGGGATAAGGCCCTTGCTCATGTGGTTCAATTGGTTGAAACATCATACCATGCACCAAAAGTCTCGGGTTTGATTTCTGGTCAGGATACATGTCTAGGTTGCACTTGTAGGAGGCAACCAATGGATGTTTTACTCTCTCATTGATATTTCTCTCTCTCTCTCTCTCTCTCTCTCTCTCTCTCCCTCCCTCCCTCCCTCCCTCCCTCCCTCTCTCTCCCTCTCTCTCCCACTTTCTATACAAATCAATAAAAGCATGTTCTCAGGCCCCGCCAGCATGGATTAGTGATTGAGCATGGACTTACGAAACAGACATTAACAGTTCAATTCCAGATCAGGGCACACGCCTGGGTTGCTCAATCCCCAGTGTGGGGTGTGCAGGAGGCAGCCTATCAATGATTCTCTTTCATCATTGATGTTTCTATTTCTCCTTTCCTCTCTGAATATATATATTTAAAAGATATGTCCTCAGGTGAGGATTAAAAAAAATGTGATATGGATAAAAACCATTTAAATGTGCCAGGTTTTAAACAGAATTTCATTTTCCTCTAGAAACTGCTTACATTAAACTCATACCGTGTTTAGTATGAAAAAGATTAGAATAATGTCTGCTCACTTAATTCTAACCAAGAATGCTGATTACAAACACTAAAATTATTTTGTTTTTCCTTAAGGGGAATCTCAAAATGAGCTTCGAGAAGCCAGACTCAAGATGATAAGTGATGATGTGTGCAAGCAACCATATGTATATGGCAGTGATATAAAATTTGGGATGTTTTGTGCTGGATATCTGGAAGGCATTTATGATGCCTGCAGGGTAGGTGGAGAGAGATTATTTTTATATCATTAACTCAAATTTTTTTTAATCTCAATTAAGAAATATTCTATGTTCTTTATACTAGTACAAAATATAGATATCTTATCAGCTCAAAAATGTCTAAATGCAAATTTCACAACATACATATTTTTAGATGTTTTATTACACAAAATAAGCAGAGTTCCTTTGATACTGTCAAACAAACTAACCAATAAAATTAAATGTCCTTGCCCTAGCTGGTTTTGCTCAGTGATAGAGCATTGGCCTGTGGACCAAAGGGTCCCAGATTCAATTCCAATCAAGAATGTACCTTGGGCCGAGACCAGTTTGGCTCAATGGATAGAGCGTCGGCTTGGGGACTGAAAGGTCCCGGGTTCGATTCCGGTCAAGGGCATGTACCTTGGTTGCGGGCATATCCCCAGTAGGGGGGGTGCAAGAGGCAGCTGATCGATGACTCTCTCATCGATGTTTCTAACTCTCTATCTCTCTCCCTTCTTCTCTGTACAAAATCAATAAAATATATTAAAACAAAAAAAGAATGTACCTTGGTTACAGGCTCCTCCCTGGGCCAGGGCTGGTATAGGAGGCAACCAATCAATGTGTTTCTCTCACATCGATGTTCTTGTCTTTCCCTCTCTTTTATTCTCCCTAAAAATCAGTGGAAAAATATACTTGGATGAGGATTAAAAAAAAATTAAATAATTAAATGTCCTTAACACTAAAAGTCCAAAGACTCATAAAACTCTCTTCTATTAAAGAGCTCAAATATAGGAAGGAAATATTCAGGAACAATGAACGATGATGTGATGTTATAAATGATATTAATGAAGACAAATATTTTTACAGCAAGTATCAGAAAGGTCACATTTAAATGAGGCCTGAAGGATAAATAGCACTTGCCCAATTATAGACTAAGAAAATAGTATTATAGACAAGAGGGAGAGCATAGCCACAATTATAAAGGTGTGAAGCTGCAATTCATATTTGAGGGGACCCCAGGCAATCTGTTGAGTCTCACATAGGAGGATGAGAGGTGAGAAGTAGCAAATGCTCAAAAGGTGGATTAGACCATGCCATGACTACCCAGGGCCCTTACCATGTCCCCCTCTGTTGTCCAATATCTATCCTGCATGTATGTGTACTGACAAGGTACAAAAGTGTGTTTCTTCCTGGAGGCACTTGCTCTATAAATGTGAGATCCTTGAAAATCCCAAGGAGGTGATTCTACCTGATGAAATGATGGTGTTATTAATGTCAGGTGGCAGCAAGCCCTTCCCAGAGTCCCACAGATTACAAAACATGGGAAGCCTCTGTCAGAAAAAGGTATGCTACATACATGTACATGTAGCATATGGGCTGGGAAAGAACAGAATCTGACACACACCTGGCCTCAGTTGTTAAGAATGTGAAGGAAGGCAGCTAGAATTCAGGAAATCCAAAGAGAGGCCCATGCCATGGCAGATAAGTGGAAGGTGTTAACAGGAGTCAAGGAGCAGACAGGATAGGGGAATCTAAGCAAACGTTGAGATTAGTGATAAGCCTCAGGAAGGATTAGTGTTCATGAAGAGCTTTCCCAAGATTGGAAGCCGACATAAGATTCCTAACCCATGACTATGCAATTGAGTAATAAGCCAGAGTTATACAAAAAGTGAGAAAGTTATCAAGGAAGGGACTCAGGCACAAGTTCCAAGACAAGAATACCGCAACTGTACTGGGGTATATGATGTGGAGTTTAGTCTGTCTGAGAAAACAGAAGTCAAAGCACTCTACTTAGATTCAAAAGAAAAGCAACATCAGCTTGACTTTCTGTGTTATATATTTGAAATTTGCTAAGAGTAGACCTTATGTATTCTTACCTACCCCCTACACACATACACACACACACACACACACACACACAGTAACTATTTGAGGGATGGATGTAATTAACCTGATGGATATGTTAGTTAACCTGATGGTCATTTCACAAAGTATAGTATGTCAAATCATCATGTTGTTTGCTTTAAATGTATACAATTTTATCTGTCAATTATCCTAAAAAAAATAAAAGCCTAATATGCTAAGTATCCAGTCATCCCATCATCTGTTCAACCAATCAAAGCGTAATATGCTAATGATATGCTAAGACCATTCAACCGTTCACTATGACGTGCACTGACCACCAGGGGGCAGACAGTCAACTGGTCAACCAGTCGCTATGAGGTGCACTGACCACCAGGGGGCAGACACTCTGACCCATAGGTTAGCTTGCTGCTGGGGTCCTGTTGATCAGGACTGAGCAAGACTGGCTGAACATACCCTGGAGCTCTCCCATGGTTCCTCCCAGGCTGCCCAACCTCCCACATCCTTTCCTGGCTCTAATTGCGCACCAGTGGGATCCCTCAGCCTGGCCTGTGCCCTCTCTCAATGTGGGACCCCTCGGGGGATGTTGGAGAGCCGGATTTGGCCCAATCCCTCAGGCCAGGCTAAGGGACCCCTCTGGTGCGCAAATTTATGCCCTGGGCCTCTAATATATCTATAAAGCTGAAAAAATTAAAATGTGGACATTTAAATTTTATAGACTTTTTAAATGATTTTATAACTTTTAAAATACATCTTTTAATTAATTATCCAATAATTGGTAATCTGTACATATGGCTAATAATAAAATATGTGCTTTATCAGAATATCTTAAATAATAAGCTTTATATTTAAGTAACATTTTATTTCTCTCTCTTTTTTTAACCTTCAGGGTGATTCTGGGGGCCCATTAGTCATAAAGGATCTTAAAGATACCTGGTATCTCATTGGAATTGTGAGCTGGGGAGATAACTGTGGTCAAAGGAACAAACCTGGAGTCTACACAATGGTGACTTATTACCGAAAATGGATTGCTTCAAAAACAGGCCTCTAAATTACTGTAAAAGTTCAACATCGAGAGCTGTATGCAGGACACACATGTATGAGAACCCAAATATTCAGTGGGGTTAAATGACTGGTCCTAGCAACATAGAACATATGTGACTATTTATTTTAGAATCACTCTAATAAACCAATAACCCATAGCCAAATCATAAAGAATTTAAATTTGTAAAGTCGTGGGCCAATTTAGCTTGGCTTGAAAAATACATCAGAGCTACTCAGCTCTTAAAATCACACCAGGTGGAGCATAAAAGAGGAGCAATGCAATCTATTGAGGATAATCCATGAGATTTGTCAGGGGTGTCACCTTTAGTGAGTAAATTTTTAAACACTCGAAGAGTTCAGGAAACCTTTATATAATCTCCAGAACTCACAGATACTTTTTTTCTTCTTTTTTCCTCATTCTTCCAGGTTTTCCAAAGAGATTTTCCACCATAAGAAACTATTTTTTTTTCTTATAAACTCATTGGAGGGATCTTCATAAAAGAAAGTTATATCTGGGAAACAAAGTTCTCTGATAAATCAAGCCAGAGATATTACCTTTTTATGTTGGTTCTAACCTCCTTAATTTGTGGTGATTTTTCACACACACAAACACACACACACATACACCTCCCACTACCCTACAGATAAAGTCTGATTAAAGAATAAGTATATATATATATATATATATATATATATATATATATATATGTATATATATATATATATATACTAATCAAAAATATATTTTTGTTATAAGAAATTTGGGGGAATGTGATAACTTTATGAACAGTCTCAAAACAGTGGCACAACATTTTGACATTTTATAGATGTATTTACATGTTTGGACTGACAAGAGGTGACTTTATGGATTATCACTGCAAGGTTAAATGCCTAGAAAAAAATTAAAAATTTGCCAATACACTAAAGAATGAAAGAGCATCATCACCTTTCTAGACAGAAATCAAGTGTCTGCATTGCTGCAGCTGATTATCCCCTAACACTTGTGGCAGTCAGACCACTGCAACCATGAAACTCTAGTTTAAAAAAAAAAAAAAGTTTTAAAATAAATATAAATTTTAAAGACCTCCCACAAAGAACACATGAACAATGTCATCTGAAAGAACAAACAAGCCCTCTAAATAAATTCCCTTGTGAAGACATCGGGAAAGTCAGGCTCATGTATTCAATGATACAATTGAATGAAGGCTTTGTGGGAACTTTGTGACAACACCAGCTAACCTTCAGCTCTGCAGTGTGGTGTCATTTTTTCACGTAGTCCAAATATAAGCCAAAGCATTACAATAATTTCTCCTCATGTGCTATTGAGAAGGCATGAAAATAACCATGAAAAAATGGGGAAAAAATTTACAGTTTACTCACCAAAAAAATAAAAATAAAATTGATCCATAACTTAGACTCACAAAAGTTTAAAAATTAGAAAAGACTGTACAATTCATGCAGGCCAGTACACATTGTTCAGAGACCAGAATCCAGGAAGCATAAATGATTTGGTGAGGCCTAGACAGCTTATATCCAGCAAGGGCCATGAACCCAGGTACCAATTTCACATGCTCTTTACCTTGCAAAGCATCTTTTTTTTTGTAACATCAGATCTAGAAAATTTTCAATAAGGGCTATTATGGAATCTGTCTTAAATTAGGAAACTCTTAAGAAATTAATTTTAAATGATGAAATTCACTCAGGCAGCTGGCTGCCAATTCTCTGAACTCACTCCAAGATAAAGTTGCTTGTTTATAGGCAAAAATATACACAGACATATAAATTATTCTATATTTTGGTGGTATATAATTCTGACTTTCAATGTTAAGATTCAAAATAATCTTAGAGTTATGAACTTTGTATTTCTAAACTGTTTGGTGCAGCATTTCATTCTGGGACATGTGCAAGCAAATATTGATATGTCATTTTAAATCAATAATAAAGTTGGTGATTATTCTATAAATACCATTTAATCTGTGATAGGCCAATAGTATGAATCTTTCTTTCAACTGCTCTTAAGAATTGCCTTTCTTTCTTTCTCTCTCTCTCTCTCTCTCTCTCTCCCTTCCTTCCTTCCTTCCTTTCTTTTTCCTTCCTTTCTTCCTTCCTCACCAGAAGATATTTTTCCCATTGCTTTTTCAAAGAGAGGGAGGGAGGGAGGAAGAAAGGGAGGAAAGAAAAAGAGAGAGAGAAAAACATCGATGAGAAAGACACATTGGTTGGTTGCCTCCTGCAGGCACCTGGCAGAGGCCAGGGAGAGAACATGCAATCCAGGTACTTGCCTTTGACCAGAAATCAAACCTGAGACCCTTCGGTGTGGGCCAATGTTCTAACCACTTACCAACACTGGTCAGGGCTGCATTTCCTTTAAATAACTAGTTTGGGTCACACTGAAGCAGGGTTTCTCAACCTTGGCAGTTTTGACATTTTGGCCTAGATAGAAGGGCTATCCTATGCAGTGTAGAATATTTAGCAGCACCCTGAACTATGCTGCTAGCAGAAAATATAAAATATGATATTTCCTCATTTCCAAGGTGAATCTTTTTGTTATCAATATGTTTAGGCAGAGAACAGAAACTAAAAGCTAAATATTATGCAGCTTAAAATTCTGTGGAAACTGATGGTGATAAAGGACCAGTACAGGCAAGGACTAATAACTTCAGGAGGGTATTGGAGACCTCCAGGATAGTATTATGCTAATGTTAGTAGCCTTGAAATAGGTTTTCTGGGTTTGGACATGTTGGACATTATGCAAGTATGCAGGGTCACTGAGGATCCCTGTAAACCTGCTGACTATTTTTGCATTGGCTGTAGTGATCAACTAGTGGTCAGCAAACTCATTAGTCAACAGAGCCAAATATCAACAGTACAAGGATTGAAATTTCTTTTGAGAGCCAAAATTTTTAAACTTAAACTATATAGGTAGGCACATTGTTATTAACTTAATTAGGGTACTCCTAAGCTGGCCATTGCTAAAAACGTCCTCAATCTGATTGAGGCATGTGGTTCTTGAGCCTCGGTTTGCCGACTACTGTAGCTTCATAGTACAGAGAAAGCACGAGGATAAGTACCTACCTGACTGAGCGATGAGGCCACTTCCCTCATAGAACAGACTGCTCTCTGGGCCTCCCAGAGCCAGCTCTGGCATTTGGCTGTCCAGGAGTTCTCTGCTACCCTTTATGGAACTTAGTAGGAACCTGGAGGCTAGAGGACATCCGCATTCTCAAGTTTGTTTTATTTTCCTAGAAAACGTTTATTTGACCTTTCCCTGGTTTGGAGGAGTTGTCTGGCAGTTTTGAAACTCTATTCCAGTGAACACAACACAGCTGAAAGAGTAGTGGCTGTTACCATGTTAGTGCAGGCCACGGATATCTGGTCACATCATTCCATGATGCTGGCTCCCCCCAAAGGAATACTTCTAAATCTTAAAAGCATGCTTTGTCTTGAAGATATAAGGCATTTTTATCTTTGTGGAGAATGCTTTCCTGGAGAATTTGATATGAATGGAGAAGAGATACTCTTTCAATGATGGAAGGTAGGGTTAATTTAGGGAAGGAGATTGGGTTAATCCTGTCACTATGTACAGGAACTACATGTATCTCTACGGTTCCAGACAAACCTCCTTCCCACATAAAGGTTTGTCTTCTGGGGTATGTGTGTGTTTAGAGAAGTGTGAAATGAATCAATAAGAACCTTGAAATTTTTTATCAACCTTGAAGATTCCCAATGATGAAACTGTTGTCAATTATCTTGCTGGGATCATGTACTAGATGGAGAGAGCACTCAGTGTTCCTGTCAGTTGCTCTTCCTGAAATTGTTCTAAAAAGGGTAATGTAATCTGGCTCCATCATACACAACACCATGGTGGTCCAGCATAAGGCTTTACCTGTGCCTGCAACACCCAGAGCTCCTTAGCGTTCCAGGATTCTGTTGGACAACTAGGGAATAGGACAGAGCATGGAGAAGCCCCTTCTAGGTCAGAAGTCTGGCTCATAGCTAACCACAGCTCTGTTTTTTCTCTTCTCTTTGAGGCAAGAAATCTAATTCCTGGTACAAAGCGCAAACATTATCCCTGGCTGTTCATGACAAACACTCTGAAAAACAGCAGCGCTCTCACCTGCCTTTCATTGGGCCATTTAAGGACCTAACAACATACTCTGATTACACAAGCTCCTATTTTATCCATATTCCTTATATCCTTCTCATTTAGATGACTATGAAAAATGAGATCAACAGAAAAATAATAAAAACAAAAGAAAGCCACAGACTGGATTTCAAGGTGACCTTGATAGCTTCTCTCTGATCTATGACTACAGTCTATCTCTAATTCCGGGAAAACCTCAGTATTAAGTGTTCCTGTCCAAAAGCCCTGGAAACAAATAAGGATGAATCAGTGGAAAGGTCCCTGTATTACTGTAAAAAGGAAACAATGCAAGTACATGCTCTTCTAACTGTGAGAACTATTACCGGTATCTTGTATTATATCAGAAGGGTGTTATGATACATCTTCATGGTTCCAAATGACCTCAAACCCAGTTCAAGTACCTGGCTGCAGTCACATATTCCAGAGTTTGGTTAAAAAAGTAAAACACTAATACAATACCTGATGACTAGTTAGATCAATTGGATTATTGAATACAGGTTCAAATAATCTTTTAAAATATATGTAAAACATTACACTACCAAATCACACATTTGCTAGATGATGGATAATATGACATAGGAGTAAACAATATAAAGTTAAACAGAATTTATTTGAATCCCGGCTCCACTGAATGACAGTCTGTTATTTGAACTTCATGATGGTTAGTTTTGCATGTCATCTTGACTGGGCCACTGGGCCCAGATAAGTGATTAAATATTATTTCTAGATGTTTCTGTGAATGTGTTTTAAATATTATTAACATTTTCCAGCTTTATTTTGATATATAATAATTGACAAAGAAAATTATATATATATATTTAAAGTGGACAGCATGATGATATGATAATTCATATATTGTGAAATGATTGCCAAATTAGCTAATTAACATACCCACCACCTCACATAGTCGCTTTTACAATACAGCATTAATTATAGCCACAGTGCTGTCCATTAGATTGCCAAGGGTTGGGAGGTTGGGGAAATGAGAAGATGTTCCCACTCTAGCAGTAAATTTACACTATTTCCTGGGCATCTTGTCAGGTGTGATGCCTTGTATACAGAGAGACTGCTCCAAAGTCAATAAACCCTTCCTTATCCAGCCTCATGTTCCAGCCTCTTTTGATACCATTGTAATAACCTGGTCATTATTAACAGGAAGGGAGTAAAGGGAAAAGTAAATCATCTAGACATGCCATTTATACAGGTTGCTAATTTAATACTCTCTAAGTATGTTCCTCACTAATCAATGGTGGAAGGGACTGGACAAAGGAAGGCAGCTTGGACACATGCCCAGTAAGGTCTAAGTGATGAGGGAAGATGCTTACCTGTCAGCCACACCTGAAAGTGAGTCAGTGACCAGAATAGCCATGGCTACAGCAAGGGTGTAAATCCTGAATATTTTAACTCCTAGAGTATACTTTTTTGTCTCTTCTGCTTGTCTGTGCTCCTATGACTCCTTTTGCAGTGACCATGCTCCTCTGCATTCCCCATATGCTCACAGGTATGTGGGACCCATACAAT